TGGCTTTCCACTGTGTAAAAAGTTGCTAAAAATAAAAATTTAAGTGTAAAATATTTTATTGTATGAATGTATGATTGAAAATGAACTCTTATTTAGTGAAGATTAAAATCGAATTTTTATTAGATTTTAATAAAAATTGATAAAATATGTGATTAAAAAGTTGTGGGACCCATAAAATATGGTATTAAAATTAATTGTTAACTTCGACTTCAATAAAAATTTGGATTAAAATCACGGGGCTGAAACTCGTTTTAGTGTAGGAGTAGGTGAAAACATACAGATGTCCTCCTCACTTATTGCCCATTTTTGATACACATTAAAATTTTCATTCTCATTTTTTTACTCATTTTCAACCATACATTTTTTAATAAAATAATACTTTTCATCACATCAATAATTTTTCCTTCTTTTTCAACCACATATTCTCCATCTATCTACTATTCCAAATACATTCTTCCAAAATAACGTAGCCCAAACACACACATTGTATCTTTGGACTCTGTACCACCATCGCATCTAATAATATTAATGGTGGCTCATCCAAAAATGGGTATTCGTTAATGGACCATTAACAAACCATCTGTATTTAGAATGTACCACTTTATACAAGATTGTTAAGGCATTATCCTATTGTCATTTAATAATATAGATCTAACAGGGCAAATTACACAGTCAATTCTACATTTATTAGTCCGTGTTAATTTAACTTCGAGTAATATTATTCATCCATATTGGTGTTAAGTCACAATCTATGTGACAATTACATGATATTAAATGATAAATTCATTTAAATACAAAGTCACGTGACTCATTTAATTGAGTCAATCATTTAATGTCATATAATTGTCACATAGACTGTGGCTCAACCCAAGTGGGGATGAATAGCATTATTCTTTAACTTGGTAGATAGCAAGTTAGCATTGGAAGGAAAAAGAAAAATGGGCTAATAGGGTACTGCCACGTTAGCACTCTGTTCAACCTCTGTTAAAAATTCATGTACGTGCAACTGTATTGTATTTAACCTAGCGGGAAGCTCTATGAAAATTACGAACACTCACAATGGAAATACTAGCTACGGTATGAGGACAATCAAGGGCAACATTGTCCATTTTTCAAAATTTATTGAAATTAAATAGTGAGATCTAGAAAAAAAAAAAAAGAAAAAAAGAATTGTAGTTACCAGGAAATGAGAAATGGCTCATCTAAGCTGTTGAACACATTGATAATGAGATTATCATTTGTAACAGAGTAAATATCAGGTCCAGGAAATTGCCCATTGATCAAAATACCCTAAACAAACAAACGAACGAACGAACAGATCATTAATATTAGGAAATATCTACTCTACATGAACATCATGGGATTCAAAAACAAACGAACCTGTTGGCGAACTCCGAGAGGATAAATGTCACCATAAGAAACATTCCAATTAAAGAATCTGTAAGGGTCTTCAGCTCCAGCAATTGCTAAAACCACAAACAGAACCGCTAATTTTAGCGCCATTTTCACTGAAGAACTAGCCTCCATATGGTTGGTTAGTTGTGTGAAGAAGAAGAAGAAGGGTTTGTGAGGATTTTGAAGGCTATAGTGAATGATGAGGCGTGGACGGCATATATAAGTGCGGTACAGAGTGTTTGCCAGTGTGCAAAAAAGACTCAAAATAGCCGTAAAGGAAAGATGGGGAAAAGATTATGGAATAAATTAAGCTTCTTGTATACTACGACAAGTTTGACACTTCGTTGTATGTCAAAATTTGAAGCATTAGTTGTTTATAGTGTTATTAAAATTAATATATAAAAGACTGTCATTTCATAACAGTGTCAAATTTGATGTATATGTAGCAAGATCATTATGGAATTGTTTGACAAAGTAGGTAATAAAAATTTTAGTAAATTTTCATAAAATATATGGTTAAAAAATATACAATTATTGACTTTGACTTTAGGTCCCTGTTTGATGGGAATTGAAATCGGATTTTTATCAAATTTCGTAGAAATTGATGAAATGCGCGGTTAAAAAATTGTAAATCCCATTAAATTTGTGATTAAAATTAATTGATGACTTTAATTTGGATTAAAATGTTAATTTTAATTTCCACCAAACGGGCAATTATATCTAACAAATTTTAAGTTTTCTCAAACGAGAAATAAGGCTATGTTTGACCACCATAAAAATAAGTTTTGGAATAGTAATTTTTTTGATGATTTTAAAAATTAAGAAAAATCTTGAATGAACGTGCATAATATTTTATTGTGAGAATACGTAATTAAAAATGAGTTTAAGCGCAAAAAAAAAAAAGAAAAAAATTTGCTTTAATGGTTGTCAAAAAAAGTGCTGAAGGAGAAATCCGAGGGAAAATTAAATTCAGTCGATGGGAGTGTCGGTGCTGCACCTTTTGTCGCCACCCACCCCACATGCCCCTCTGTTCGTTTCCTACTGAGGTGGGGTACTTCTTGGCTGGTGGTTTTGTGAAAATTGTTGTGTTAGTTCCTAAACCATTTCTTGAATATCAAGTTGATCCTTAAATTATAAAAATATGGACTTTGGTTATCCATGTTTTATTTTCGTTTGCACGAATAGTCGTCAATAATCAAAAGTGTTCGAATTGCTATTAAATAGCCACATAGAAAGACCACACAAACTTTTTGTTCAAAATCCGAGGCACTAGCCCGACTCAAGTTCAGAAATTTCTAATTTCAAAAATTTAGACATAAGGGTCATTTGATTTTTAACAGTAAGTCGAAGGCTGATTTTCTTCTTTTGAAGGTCGATATAATAGGTTGACGACTCATAGTGCAATTCTTTTCAACTAGATTGAGACCTTGTAGCAGACGTCTCGACACCACTCCACATGCCGGAGCAGGGGTGGTTATAAAATGCACTCGAATGTCTACGGCACCCACGGAATGTCCATGTGCCGTGTGAACACCATCAAGTAGGTCCCCCACCTCCCTCACAAACCATTTTCCATGTCCTTTCCCACTACAACCATTTTTCCCTCTTGCCATCATTCTTCGTCTCACTTCTTGTCCGCTTTTGCATACTTAAAATTTTTTAATTGGGTGGTCTGTAAGCTGAATCAAGTTTTACTCGAACTTAAAACCAAGTAATTTGAATTTTATATTAATAATAGGATAAGGATACCTAGTAACATAGGATTGTGAGTTTGTGAACTCATATTCATATTATTCCCTTCACGTGATGGTAAGTACCGAAAGAGCACATGAAAGGGATTTTATTTTGTCCTTCCCTCACAGCTGGCCAGTTATACTAATGAAAAGGTAAAATGCAATTTGGGAATTTTAATTTTAAATAATTATAATATTACTATCCTTTGAACAAAATACCGACATTTGTAAATCCACCTTTTGTTGCTTGCGAAAGAATTTCAAGCATTCTTATTTTACATTTTAATTAACTCTATTTAGCCTTTCTTTGATTAAGTTAAATAAGTTGATAGAAATTTAAGTCAAAGTCAACAATTAATATTAACCATACTTTATCGGAGTTAAAATTTTTATCAACTTTGTAAATAATACATTTCGTCAATGTTTTTAAAAGTCTACTAAAATTCCGAAAATCAGACTGATCAACCAATCAAATCAATGAAAAAAAGGCATTTCGATAGGAAATAAAGTATCAAGTCGAAAAGAAAGAAGCAAGTGTGGCTTTCAAGCTTGTCTCCCCGTTGCATTAAGCATGAAGAAAAATGTTTTGTGAACTGATGTATATTTCATTCAATTGCCTTTCATTATAAGAAAAATTACAAGATCTAGATATACATAAAAGATGGAAATTTTATAACTCTAAAATCCAAAATATTGAAATTTACAAAATACACACAAAGATATAAAATTGATGACTCTAAACTAAAAGATTGGATTGATCGATATTCCCTGATTTTATCTTCATCCAAACCCCCCTCAAGTTGGAGATGGGATTGAAATGTCAAAAATTACCCAACTTCCAAAGTAGTCAACAATAAGCATCACCTAGTGGTTTTGGTAAAATGGTTTGCCAATTGTTCGCTAGATTGTAAGTAGGAAGGAGTAAGAAGACTTGTTTGAATATTTTCTTGAACAAAACGATAATCAATTTCAATATATTTGGTATGTTTGTGGAATGCAGGATTTTTGACAATATGAATAGCAACTTGGTTATTACAATGAATTGGATGATTAGTACCAAGATTCGAGAGAAGATGTTTAAAGCATTGCAACTCCGAAGTAAGTACTGCAAGGGAACGATATTCTGCTTCTATAGAAGAACGAGAAACTGTTAGTCGTTTCTTGATTTTCGCTATTTTTGCTAATCAGTTGATACATGAACAATACAACAAGCTTGTTGCACTTCTAGTTAAAGAGGAATCTAGCGGACCATCAGTCCATTTGGTAGGTACCGCTCTTACTTGTCTATCATTTAGATGGATTATCGATTCACGTGCTTCTAATCATATATGTACATCTCATTCATTTTTCTTCATATTCTATCGTTCATACAAGTGTATCACTTCAATTGCTTGATGGCTCTCAAGCGCTAGTGACACACATAGGCACGGTTCATTGTTTATCATTACTTACTCCCACGAATGTATTTTATACTTGAAGCCATTAATCATCCTACATATCTAGAGGACATAATTGGATTAACAAAGCTGACTTCAGCTTGCATTTTTGAATTAGACTGGGATAATAAGGATGATGAGTGTGTTGAAATCTAATGTATTTCTTTCAATTGGTTTTACAATTGTAATTGCCTTACCTTCTATATACACTAGACTAGATAATTCTAAAATCAAAGACATTATTTGAAAAATACCGAGAGGTTACTTTTTAATGGGGAGAGAGAGGAGAAAATGAGTTCAAAGAGGGAAGAAAGAGGAAAAATGTTATAAGACGAGAATATCCTTCACTTAAACAAAGAAGTTGGATGAAAATAAACGAAAAGGACGTTTTGCGCAATCAAAAATATAATTAAGGGTGAAATGCTAAAAAAAATTGAAGGTAGTGACGTTTTACACGATAATAGTCAAAGGTATGGGAGCTACGCACTAATTATCCTCTTTAAAATAATATTTATATGTTTTGTTTTTCTATTTTTCCACATGCAAGGTTTTTGGTCAACTGTTCTATTCTAATTACACTAAAAGTCAACGCATTAGTGGATATAAATTTACCTAGGAACAACTCAGTCTACGTCTTCTAATCTTAGCAACTTGACAATCCAGTGCACACAATCACACAAATAAATTTAAAATCTTTAATCCAAATACATCTTAAGATCCAATGATATTCTACAATAGATCCCTGTTTGAGCCCCATTTTGGGAAGATAATGTATTTTTGAATAGTGCATTTTTTAAGAATAAATTGTTAAAAAAGAATGAAAAATTTTCGATTTACATATAAAATTATTTTATGGAAGAATGTATAGTTGACATTGCTTGTTTAAAAGAATAAAATGTAACTTCTTGTGGGCGGTTTTATATACTTGAATTTGTGTAGACTTAAAGGTTAGGCAACGGAACCAAGTGTCCCCTCCACCATTATTATTTTGCATTTGCATTTGCATTTGCATGTGCCGTGATTCCAGCCATTATTGTGCATGATTTCAACGCGGTCCAGCAATAAAAATTCAAATTATGGAGAGATTGGATCAGCCCGGTTTGTGCAAACGCGGCAATGACGCCTAATTGAATGTTTGGAATTTAAAAATAAAAACTCATTTTAATCAAACTCATGTTTGGTGGGCATTTTTTTGATAAAAAATATTTTTTTAATATTAATTTTTAAGAGAAAGTTTGATTAAAAAAGGGAAAAAAAATTTGAATTTACTTGTAAAATATTTTAGTGAAGGTACAACTAAATTGCTCATCTTTAATTTGACGCAATGGGATAACCTAATTTCGATTTGCTTATAGATCTACTCATCCATCTTCAATTTGGTGCAATCATCAATTTACTAAACTTCGATTTCTAAATTTGGTCAGTTTGTTCACTACTATCGGTTTAACTGAAGGAATATGATGATTTTGACATTAGACATAATGAATATATGGTGTAAAAACGTGCTTTCCATTTATATGACATTTTGAAGAAATTTTGTTAGATCGGTGGTGTGCATTGTTGAGTGACGTGAACATATATGACAATCATATTTCATTTTTAATGTCCAAGTCAACATATAACTTTTGTTAAATTAACAAGGCAATTTATTAAATGATCAAATTTTCTTGCAAATCAAAGTCAATGATTTGATTGCACCAAATTGAAGATGAGTGACCTAGATGTACCTTCGCTCAAAGTTCAATGACCTACAATGTAATTTAACCTTATTAAAATGTGGAATTTTCAAAAATAACATAACGGTGAGACAGTAGACACTATTTGAATTGAATAAAAATTGATGAAATGTGTGGTTGAAAAGTCAAATTGAATTGATGGACCACCACCGATCTGGGTTTGTCGGAAGGAACTAGACTAGAAGCCATTACAGATCCATTGTATGTAGCCGTGTAGGGCCTGATAAATCTCAATTAGTGTGCACGTTACTCCAAAAGAAAATGAAAATTGTTCACATTGTTAAGGAAAATTTTAGACTTGATAAAAATAAAATAGAAAAAATTGTTAGGTAATTATTGGAATAAGTGGGAAAATTTTAATTTAAAATGCTCATGACTTAATTAATATTGACAGCAGAAATTTAGTGGGAATTCTTCAAGTGAAAACATCTCATATTTCATTTTGGTCTTTGAGCCCTATTTGGAGGAAAAATAAATTTTAAAATAATGATTTTCGTTAGGAAATTTTTTTTTTTAATTTACGTGTAAAATTATTTTATGGGAGAATGTGTAATTGAAAATGAATTGTAGGAAAAAACAAATTTCGAAAAAAATGGAGCTCAAACGTAAACTTCATTTCCATTTAACCACATTTATTATTTGATTATTTATCCAATTAAACAATCGTGCTACAGTGTTAGATGTTATTCTATCATTGAACTATTTAAAACACAGTCAATTTTCTCATCCAATCATCTGCTGACACCTACACTTTTATCATTGCATCTATCAAAATTCTTTTGAAAAAGTGGCATAATCGTCAAAACAAACATGTCACTAGCTTAGGACCCACACCTCATTCTAAGATTGCTTCATAATCCAAAATACCTATTGAATTAATAGATTATCTATTACACTTGCATTGTATGGAAAAAGGAAAAAGGATGCACGGCTCCCTCTCAGCGGAGTCTCTACAAAAAGGAAGCAACAAGTTTGTGTTTATTCCATATTCATAAATTATTTATAAATATTCAATTTGCTTTTTAATTTCTATCCGTACATGAGGTGACTCACAAGTATTACATATTGAATTCATCTCGTAAAATTAAGATTGCTCCCATTTTCACGCAAATTATGAAAATATAATTAATATATTTTTATTTATACTTTTTCTAATGTACCCTTATATTAAATAATTATTTAAATAAGAATAATTCATATTTGTTGATAACAAGTAATATTAATTTAAGTCATGTATAAACCCTTCCTAAACACACTTTAAATTCGAAAACCCAATTTTAGATCTCGAAGACCAATTTAACACCCATCGTTGACAAAAGTACTACTAATACTTGTAGACTTTTTCAAAAAAAAAAAACTAAAAACAAGTATCAAATATATCGAAGTTCTTTCAAATGACATATTTTAAAATCTAAAATAGATTCTCCCAATTTTCATGCCAAATCAAATTTGATATTATGAACTAATAGAGCTGGGATCGAGCAAAAATCAATTCAAATCACTCAAATCGATCGATTTAATCCAATACAACCAATTTGGTTCGATTTTTAAATTCAATTATGTTGCTTTGGGTTAGAAAATCACATTTGAGGCCGCTTTGCGTTGAGTCTCGAGTTAAGAATTAAAACCGAATCCAATCTAATAATTAAAAAAAAAATTAATACATAAAATGAACAAATCTAAATAGACACATCAATGGAGACAAGAGAAG